CACAACCCTCCCTCCCTCCACAATCTATCCACCCTCCCACAATGCAACCATTCCTCCACCCCATCCATCCACCCTCACAATGTTTCCATCCATCCATCCCCCCACCCCACCATCCATCCCCCCTCTACCCCATCCATCCACCCTTACAATGCATCCATTCATCCCCTCCCACAATGCACTCATCCATCTATTCATCCACCCCCACAACCCATCATCCATCCATCCCCCCACAATGCACCTGTCCATCAGCCCATCAGCAGCCCCTGACCCAAAAAAGGTTCCCCACGCCTGCCGCGCACCCTCCCTTCCCGCACATTGTCTCCCTCCCTTTGGACCCCTCCCCCACCTCTCTATGAGGCATTGCAATGGACCAGCGTCTTGCACCTGTGTGCCCTGTGCCCCACGCTGCTGGTGCCCAGGGGCGACTCCCCACTGATCCATCCCTTCCACTTCCCACCAGGGCGCCATTGTGGAGAAGAGGATCCTGGCCAAGGTGCACAGCCGATTCATTGTCACGCTGGCCTACGCCTTCCAGACCAAGGTGGACCTGTGTCTGGTCATGACCCTCATGAATGGTGGGGACCTCAGGTAAGTGGGGCCCTTTTGTGCCCCTCCCTGTATGGGGGTGGCATCATAGGAATATCTACCCAGTCTCACCTCTGCCCTCCCCAAGTACCACCTCTGCATGTCACCTCCCTCCTTTCCCCTCAGATACTGCATCTCCACATCACCTCCTCCCCGCCCAGCCCAGGTACCGCATCTATGCATCACCTGCCTCCTTCCCGCCCCCCCTCCCGCCCCAGGTACCATGTCTACAACGTGGATGAGAAGAACCCTGGGTTCCCAGAGTCCCGGGCAGTTTTTTACACAGCCCAGATCATCTGTGGCTTGGAGCACCTGCACCAGAACCGCATCATCTACCGCGACCTCAAGCCCGAAAACGTGCTACTGGACGACGCAGGTGAGGGGGTGGGGCTGGGCTGGGGGTCATGGGGTGGGGCTCTGGGGGTGAGGGCAGGGAGGGGTTAAGGTCTTGAGGGGAGTGGTTGTGTGTAGGGGCGTGGGAGAGGATCTCGGGAGGAGGGGGCGTCCCACCCCATCTAATGTTGGTTCCCGTCTGCCCAGGCCATGTCCGCCTATCAGATCTGGGGCTGGCGGTGGAGCTGCCAGAGGGGAAGGACAAGACCAAGGGGTATGCAGGGACACCAGGTGAGCAAAATGGGGAATCGCAGCTCCCTGAGGGGGGGGCAGGGCTGTAAGGGCCCCTGTCCCCCCACTGTCTCAGGGATTCGCTCTGGTACCCCTTCCCCCAG